CAAGCAGATTCCCACTAAACCTGGGACAACACAAAAAAGACAAGACTTGAGCTCCGTGAAAATGATGCTACCAAGTAGATTCCCACTACACCTGGGACAATACAAAAAAGAAAACACTCGAACTGTACTGGAAAGCGAAAGGCAAGAACTGCTCCAAAATCGCAGGGCATGGCTTCTGAGACGGGAAGAGGCGAAGCGTCTGTTGGAAGTAGAACGAGAGAAGGCAGCCAAACTGGAACAGGAAAAAGGGAAGATATTCATTGATCAGTATATTGGATTGAAACGAAAGAGTTACGGGCAGAAATAGGAACCTGGAAAGCTATTGTAGTCACAAAATTGGAGAGTGACGCAGCCAGTATTGGTCGGTCATGGATGTCTGCCCCACCAGTTTCAACAATCGGTGAACTGGAGGTGAAGGTGAGGCAACAGCAGTACCAATTGGGAGCAACCAAGTTGTCAGGATTCTGCAATTGGAGGCCCAAGTTTGTGAATTGGGTTTAAGGTACGATGAAGACTTCTCAGCTTAATCGCGGAGAGAGCCGATGGAAGTATCGGAGGAGGAGGAGGACTCATCATTAGAGCCAGAACCTGTGGGGAACCACCTCCACTGAATGTTGGAGTTGACCAATCTTGCGAGCCCAGAGTGGTAGAAAATTTGTAGGAAAAATTACTAGAAAATGTTTTACCAATTCATTGTTGGCGAGGACGCCGCACAGTTGGGAGCGAGGCTAGGTATAATAGGTAGGATTTCCTTTTTGTTGTTGTTTTTTTTTTTTTTTTTTTTTTTTTTTTTTTTTTTTTTTTTTTTTCTGTGTCTTACAATACATTGTATGTAGGGTTAAGAAAAGCCAGTGAATTGATGAGTGGATAGTTTAGAGGGTTTGATGGATGATTAGGAAGGAAAAAGTAGTCAACATCGGATGTGTAATGTTTGGTATCCGGGGGTAAGTACGAACCTGTTGAAGAAAGAAGTAGAAGGGGCCCAAAAACTGTGAAAGCGTAGAGCCCGAGGCAAGCTTGGTGCTATCTCTTGTTTGTCTTTTTTCTTTTTTCTTTTCTTTTCTTTCCTTGGTTTTGTTTTCTTTTCAGGTAACTCCAGAGTCGAGAGATTGGGATCCGTTCCGATTGTTGAACAAACATAGATCAAGAGTATTGTGAGAGGAAATAGAAATTGAATCTCTATGTTGTTGAGTGAGAAATCGAATTTGTGAATATTGAGTTCTGTTTGGTGGATTGAAAGCCGGTGACCGAAGATATGGGTGTGGTTCAATTGTCAGGGACGATGTTGTGCCGTATTGGCTGTAATGGTTGAACAGTGAAGGACATCCATATAAGAGATGGGTAGAATTGGATGCGTCCAGGTTTAGAATGTGGAAGAAATGATTAGTTTCGGAATGTGTTATCAGTGTGAAGATATATATCCAGTGATGGGAACATAGTCAGTGGATATGTGCGGTCCGTCAAGGCAATGCAGTATTACATGATATGGTGTCATGAGATGGAAGAAAGACAAGTGAGTGGAATAGGAGATTTGTGGGAGACGAGATTACAAACGGTTCATATTCGACTATCAAGAGGAATGTATGGGTGGTTGTAGAAATTGATGTCATTTTAGATTCGGAGCAACATTTCTTACGTAACCGCTTTTCTCGACTAAATCATCCATCCTACCTCTTGAATTCAGTGCCCGATGGATGATTCATCTATTTCACCAGGTTCTCTAACCAATGTCCGACAAAAACCAGGTTTTCTACCCACTCTACAAGCATAACCTTTGCACGACAAAACTAATTCATGCTCCTCCCCCAAGTGAGTTGAGATCGTTGCAACAATCAATAGAGCTCGTAGATCTCCGCTTAGTATGCTGGTAACCAGGTTTTTATCACACGCTCCATCTAATTCATTGTGTTGTGAAGACGATGATATCTCCCAACACTCCCCTTTGGTTGGATGTCAAGGCGCTCCCGTAAGACATTGCAAGAGAAACAAAGAGCCAGTGACTGAGATGAGCTTCACAAAGATAAATTGAGCGAGAAAAACAATGATTGAGTACTCGCTGAGGCGGCACTGCTACCGACACACGCAACTGTCACCCTGAACCCTGAAAACCACCCATCTGAATTTTCCTCTGTTGTAATATTCAAGTTGCTCTTCACCAGGTATCCAACTTTCAGTTGATTCTGCAATCAACCGAAGGCTTCATCCATGTTTTGCAGGAATCATGAATGAAAACATAACAAATCAAAATTTAAAAGTGAAAGATTATGTGACCAGGAAATAGAAAAAACCTGACATAGGTCGGAAATCAAACACAAATTAATGTCTACAACAGTTTGTGGGGACCCGAGCTTTTTCATGAGTCTCAATTTTCGTACATCACATTGAGACAAGAATGAGAGTGATGTGAATACTTTGACATGTGAATGAAAGTGATGTAAAATACAGTAATGAAAACTAGCTGTCAAGGATTTTTGGTTGATCAAGTATAAGTCCACACCTACACGAGTAGTGTGGCAACCCCGAAGAACTCACAGCCTCTCGTACTTCTCCAAGTTCCTCTATTTGTCCTTCAAGTCGACTTCAGTGCGCCCACGAAATGCATCTGCATTGTCATTCAAAATCTTCTTCCAATGTCCTTTCCCATGCTCTTGGACTCCCCGCTTCAAAAGCTCAACCTCCTCATTCGACCATTTCTTTTGTGTTCATCTTGTTGTCGAGCCTGACCCAATCCCAAGAAGAGACTCACCGTGTTTACATTCACGTACAGTTTGCTCGGAATTACAAATCAGCACTTCACCGCAAAGGTCAATCTCCTGAAAAGGCCGCTTCTCCCTCTGCCCTCCATGCATGAAGCCCACCCTACTTGTGATTTTGGAAGGAGACCAAGACGATTCCAGAGCACGGGCGGTTTCTTTGGTATTGTGGAGGCCCGAGTCGAGCAGAAGGGGATGTGATGGAGACGAAAAAGGGTCTTGTGAATTACTAGGATGTGGGTACTTGGAGGAAAGCTGAGAGTAGTGTGCGTTTGAAGAGGGCCTATCTTTATCTTCATACATGTTATCATCTTTCAAACCTGGTGCGTGTGCCAAAGGAGGCAGGTTCAAAACACCGAGTCCTAAACATTGAGAGGTAGTCCTTGGATTTTTCAAGCGCACATGTTGTTTACATACTTCTGCTTGATCCTTCACAAGCTTCTTCAGCGAGTGATGGGCATCTTCCAATACTACAACCGACCTCTTTACCTCTGCAATCTTGACATCCAGAATGTTTTGTAGCTCACTTTGTGATGCTCGAAGTGCTCCTTCCAACTGCTCGAACCTCTTGTCGACCAAGGTTTCTTGTGTGTCATGGAAGTTGTGATCCTCAGAATCGGGAATGGCCACTGGATGAGGGGACCGTACCGAAGATTGGGCTCACAAGCTCCGCTTCCCAGCAATAGTGGATGCTACAAATTCTTCCAAAACGAGTGGACCCAATAAAATCCAAGCCTTGGCCGCCAGTGCTCTAAATTCATCTCGGATGACCTTCGCTTGTTGGGCGTCCACTCTCTTCTCGCCAAGCGATGTTCGGAGCTCGCTTTTCAGCTCCAAGAGAGGTCGCTCGAGATCTTTCCTCTCTAATGCAGGCTGCAGGAGCCTAGGTTTAGGGTTTAGGGTTACAAGGGTGTCCCCGGTTTTGGGGCATCATTATTTTTGGATTTTGACTTGACCTACCCCCCCATTTATGGTGTCTAGGATGTCAATGGTATAATTCTTTTCCTATACAAGTTTATAGTTTGGAAGATTTAGCTACTTTGACTTGGAGTTTAGGGTTTTGACTTTTGTCATACAAGGTTTTTTGAAATTTTTGAAAAGTCCATTGGATTTGTTTGAGGATTGCCAATTCTAAATATGGGCTTGAAGTTTTGAAAAGGTGCATATATTTGTAGGTATTAAGTGTTTGACTATTTTGACTTTTGAGTTGACTTTGCATATGAATAGGAATTTTGAAGTTTTGATTTGAGCTACCCCCTTATTTTAAGGGTCTAGGAATCTAGTGATGGTCTTGAAATCCTATACATGTTTTTCAATTTTGAGATATAAGGCGTTTGACTTGATATAATTTTCTGTTGACTTTTTGTATACTTTATTGTTTTGAATTTTTGATTTGACTTTCCCCCCTATTTGTCATGCTTCTGATTCCAATGGTATGTTTAAAATTTTCAGAAAGTTTATAGTTTAGGAGATATGAGATTTTCAAAATAGCAAAATTTGCCTTTCATTAATATATGAAAAAAATATTATAAAAATATGAAATAAATACATAGAGACTTTTGGAAATTATAATAATATATTGGATAATTTATATAGGTAAATGTCTTTTTTTTTTTTGGAAAATATCATATTTATATTATATATACATATGATTTAACTTTATATTATATGTGTTCTAAGCCTATGCAATGGATTGAACATGATTCCGCCAATTTGCACCATATTCTTGAATGAAGTGGCGAGCTCCTCCAACACGATCTTCATACACTCCATCTTTTTTCCAATATGCACCACTATTGGTCTTCTTTAACATCAAGCCATCTACACGTCTATCTACGACCCTAGGATTTAGGGTTTAGGGTTTAGGGTTACATGGGTGTCCTAGAGGTTTTTCATCCTCAATATCTCTTAATATAGTACAGCTTTTTTTGTTTTAAGATTTTGCCAAGGCTTAGAATCACCCAAAGACCTCTACAATCATTTTTGTTTTTCAAAAAAATGTGTTTCGTTTTCTGTAATTTAGGGTTTGAAAACCCTAATTAGGGTCTCCACACCCTGATTACAGTTCTCACTTGCATATTTTTTCTCATCAAACAACTGTTTATGGAGTCTAAATGCATACAAAACACTGCTTACTCAAAGCAATCCCCCATAGATAAGTAGTTCACCTAGTCCAGGTCCAAAGAATCCTTCGGGCTTTTCGCCCCTATGTCTTTGCCCACTCTCCACTTGCTGCACCACCGGCTCTCCTTCCATCAGGATCATCGTTGACGGAGTCAATATCAGCTCCATCTTCGACTTCTGCAAGACTCCCGCAAGCGACCAAGGTGCCTACCCCTGATGCATCCGTGAGTGCAGCCTTCGAGACTACGCCGCTTACTGCAGTGTCGCCTATACTCACATTATAGATTCTGCAAAATCAGACATCGACACGCTCGTTAATCACCCCGCACTCACGCCCATTTCTCAACTGACCCCAACAACAGAAAGCTCAGCGGCAGCGGGTACCGTGCGAGCCCAACCAGCATCGACCTAGGCAATAAATTCTACAATGCCGCACACCCTGCACTCCACTGGGCCGACCTCGAATGCTCCAACGACTGGCTCAGACCGTCACGTCCCCATGGTCCGTCGTAAGACAAGTCCTCGTACCTCGACGCTCGATCGTAGCTCCCCGGTGCACCGGCTCGCGGCAACCCTTCGTCACGCCTTGTGCTCCGATCTCTTGTCGTCGCTTCCTGTGCCTCCTGTGCTGCCGTAGGCATCCACCGCAGCTGCTCCGACGTATGCACCAAAAACCACACTCCACGATGCTAATTCTGCCCATCCTTGCACGGCTGCGTCCAAGTACCCAGCCAAATGCAGCCAATACTCAATACTTAAATGCACCCAAACTCGCACGCATCGCCTCTCCGAGAGCTCCCTTTTTCGAAACTCCCTACACGCTGTCCCCGAGTCCTCGTACCGCCGCGGATTGCAACGCCTAGCTTTCTCGCCCGGGTGGGCAAATGGGCCTTCCGTCCAATCATGGCTCCTCCCTCTCATACATCGCCTCACCTAGAATTCCAACATCCGGAACTCATTGCACCCGTACATGTCTATCACTGCCCACGCCTCCTCGTCCTCGTTGTTCGATGACACAAAATTGTTGAACGACACATCAAAAAATGTCTGTAATCCTAGCGACCAGGTCCCTCGGCCCCCAGCAGTGACGCCGATCCCAACTTCAACCCTCGCATGTCCGTTCGACTCGCTCCCTTCCTGCCTCCTCATAAAAGCCCCCTTCACCGCTCCCCGCCTCGAATTGCGACTCCTTGTTTGCCATCGAAAACCCCGAAAACTCACCCTTGGACATCGACGACCTCGGCGGACTCCAAAAGAAATTGTTGAATGCGTGCAACCCTAAACCCTACCCCCAAAAGCTGTGGCTCCTCTGGTACACTCCACCCAACGCGTCATCTCGAGGCGCCTCTGCATCGTGCATCGCCGCGGGTAAGAACGAGGTCCACCGCCAAATTGCATGCTGCGCTTGCACATCCTGCGACATAGGCATGTAGTCACCCATTGATTCATACAACGATGGCGACCACCAACTCCCCCTTCCATCGATGCCAGTCTCCTCGCTCCGCCGCTCATAAACGGTGACTTTTTTCCTCCCCCTACGAAACCCTAAACCTGCTGCCTCTCCAAAACTGCCATTGTCTCCCTCGCAAGCCCCTGCTCCTCTTCACTCCACGTCTTTCTCCACCCCCTTCCCTCGGTTGCATCTCATTGGCCACGCTTCCGTCTCTCCCAACCTCGAACTGCCCTCCGACCGCTCATTCTCCCCGTGCTTTGCAAGCAAACCTGAACGATGTGTTCGTTGAGACATGCGCCGCACTATCTTGCTCTTCTGTGAAGCCTGAGGCAGCCTTCGATCGAAAGACTAGGCGACCAGGTTTTGGACCAGCCCGTACGAGGGGGAAGGGTAATGAGAGTGGCATCCAGGGAACGGTGGCAGTATGGGATGGACGGCGCCCTTCATGTGCCTTTCTCCTGTGCGGGCGCATGTGCCCGGTTTTGGGTGTAAACCTGATTGCGACTAGGACCTCGCAGGTGATATTCACTTCTATGAACCCGCATCTATGAATTCATAATTTCCACAGCATGGTTACCTGCTCGTGTGTTCGGCTCACAGTTTTGTGTTTCGCCTCATGTTTGAGTTGAGATAATTGTCAACTATCTACTTATAATGGTTCGGGTCCTTATGGAAACGGTAGTAGATGAGGGTGTTGGTTTGGGTGAAGGAAGACGAAGAGGTCGCCTCTTGATTATGACTCATGGCACCCAGGTTTAGGGAAACTCTCTCTCAATCAACACACATAGATTCTTTGCGCGGAAATCGTACTTTTTTAAATGGAGGTGTAGTGGTGGCATTATTCAACTGGTATTGTTCTTCTGCAGCTGGAACTAAAGTGTATCTCTAAGCGTTTTCACTCTTGATATTGGAAGTGCAAATGGCATCCAACAAGTGGGTTATTGCTACACAAGGGTGATATGGCGAGGGAGTTGTGTTTCACAACTGTATTCACCTCATTCCCCTCCTGTTCACAACTGTCGAAACGGCCGGCTTTACTCAGTCTACGACTACTCCTGTGGCCAGTTTCGATGACCCAAGATAAACGCTGTGCAGCAGCCATCCCTTGTCATGACTTGAACCTCCACCGTGACAACGAAGAGCGAGATGAACTGCGGAAAAGGAGGACTGCTCTCAACTAGGTGTCACACGCATGGTCGACCACTTCTCTCAGACTTCACTTGTGTCTTTTGCTTTTGACACTACAGTTCCAAGCTCCTTCATTAAACCTGATTTTAGCCATATGACCTCATATATATTTCTACGTATTCCATCTTCCTCTCCGACTAACTGTAGGGTACTTAGGTTTAGGAATAAAAATCCACATCATCTCTTGTTTGTAGGGTATACTTTGGACCTATAAATTGCCACTGCAAGCTTTCATTTCGAAGACTAAGACTATAAATTGTGTACCCTAAACCAAGGTATTGATCTATTGTGAGATCATCAGCTTTGGACATCACCATTTGCGACCAAGGTTTAGGAGCTTTGTGCAGCTCATATGGTTATGAGTGGATGGCTTGCAGACTTCATAGTAATCTGCGTCTTCGATCTTAATGTTGTTGTTGTTGTTGAAGCTTAACCGCATTGCTCAAGCGTTTAGGGTACGACCAGCACCTATGCTTCCAACATTGAAATGCATATTATAAAACGTGCGATAAGGAGGCGTCAGGACCCGGTCTGAGAAAATGTGGAGCAAATACGAAGGACTCACGCTCCGATAGACATTTCCCAATCCCCCACCCGTCCCTCCACCCTGCTCCGCAATTTACACCCAATTGGGCATTGCAGTGCCAATAGCCATACGCTGCATTCATTCCTCGTCTCATGCCGTTGTGTTCATTGCCATCAACGCCAGCCACCGTCCCTGTCATTACGTTGGCCGATTCCTTTATGCTTGCCAACCTCCTAAAGTTACTTTGTGCCAGGCCCTAGAAAGCAGCAATGGTGGCAAGAAAAGGCAGCCAATTCCAATTGCCGGCCATGCAATTCTAATTGGCAGACATGCATTGAGCTGTTGGCAGCCGATTCCAATTGAACCTACTCTTTGAAGCCAATTCCAACTGGACCTGCTCTTGGCAGCCGATTCCAATTGAACCTGCTCATGGAAGCCAATTCCAACTGGACCTACTCTTGGCAGCCGATTCCAATTGAACCTGCTCTTGGCAGCCAATTCCAACTGGACCTGCTCTTGGCAGCCGATTCCAATTGAACCTGCTTTTGGCAGCCAATTCCTACAAAACCTACTCTCGGCACCCAATTCCAATTGGACTTACTCTCGGCACCCAATTCCAATTGGACTTGCTCTTGGCAGAAAATTCCAACTAGACCTGCTCTTGCCAGCCGATTCCAATTGAACCTGCTCTTGGCAGCCAATTCCAACTGGACCTGCTCTTGGCAGCCGATTCCAATTGAACCTGCTCTTGGCAGCCAATTCCAACTGAACTTGCTCTTGGCAGCCGATTCCAATTGAACCTGCTCTTGGCAGCCAATTCCAACTGGACCTGCTCTTGGCAGCCAATTCCAACTGGACCTGCTCTTGGCAGCCGATTCCAACAAGTCCTACTCTCGGCACCCGATTTCAATTGAACTTGCTCTAGGCAGATAATTCCGACTAGACCTGCTCTCGGCAGCCGATTCCAATTGAACCTGATCTTGGCAGCCAATTCCAACTGGACCTGCTCGTGGCAGCCGATTTCAATTGAACCTACTCTTGGCAGCCAATTCCAACTGAACCTGCTCTCGGCAGCCGATTCCAATTGAACCTGCTTTGAGTATTATCAGCGTTGGCATCAACTTCAAATGTTCCAAATGTCGCCGATGTGCCGACACCGCCGACATCTGCTTTGTCCCCTAGCCCGTGAGCTTGCGCCGCTTACTGTAGCGTCGCTTGCAACATCCCACGTTACCCTCATGACATCGACTTGCTTGCAAATGACCTCACATTTGCCCCCATTCCTCAACCGACCCTAGCCATGGCGGAGGTGACTTCGAGGGAGACAACGGAGGGCTCAACAACACAGCGTATTGCTTGTACTTGACTACCGTCCACCTGGGTGATGAATTCTGCGATGTCACATACCCTGCACCCGAGTCGGCCGAGCTCGAGTACCTCGACAAGTGGCTCGGATCGTGACCTGCCGATGCTACGTCGTAAGACAAGCTCTCATATCCAAACGCCCCATCATAGCACGCCGCTGCTCTAGCTCGCGGCGACCCATCGTAACCTCCTCCGCTTCGACCTCCCGTCGTCACTGCTTGTGCTGTTGCAGGCAGCAACCAGAGCTACTTCAGCGTGTGTGCAAAAAATACACACCCAAACGACGATAATTTTGCGCATCTTTACACAGTTACATCTAGTATCGAGCGGGATGCAGCCAACACTCAAACACTCTGTGCGTGAACTTGCATGCATCACCTCTCCGAGAGCTTTCCTTCCAAAAGTCCAAGTATGCCGTCCCCGAGTAGTGGTACTGCCGCGGATCGCAATGCTTAGCTTTGTCGCCTGGGTGGACAAACGGGCACTCCGTTCAATCATGGATCCTCTCCCTCGTCCATCGCTTTACCTTGAATTCAAACATCCACAACTGGTCGACCCATATATGTCCACCACCGGGTATGCCTCCTCGTCCTTGTTGTTCGACGGCAGAAACTTATTGAATAGTGCATGAAAAAGTGTCGGTGACCCCAGTGACAATTCCCCGGCTTCCAGCGATGACGCCGACCTCAAGCTCAACCCTCGTAGGGCCGCTTCACCCGCTCCACTTCTCGCTTCCCGCTCCCCGCCTCAATCAACGATTCGTTATCCAGCATCCAAAACCCTGAGAACTCACCCCTCGACACCGGCAAGCTCGACGGGCACAAAAAGAAATTATTGAATGCGTGCAACTGCGCGCTCTTCCTGCCCCTCAAGTTGTGGCTCCTCTGATACATCCCACCCAACGCGCTATCTCCAAGCACCTCATCGCCAGGACCCCGACCCTCAGCTTTTCTGACTCACATTTCGAAGGTTACAAATTGTGTCATCCTTTCTTGTGTTCGGTGTGAGAAGCATGCAGCATCTTCCTTCATTGCATGTCATGCATGCAGGTGGATGCTTTCCGTTTTATGATTATTTTCCATCTCCATGATATTAGACTAGAAACTTTTTCACCGGGATATGGTTTTCTACAGAGTCGAGTTATGGAAATCAATTGGAGTTCTAGTTGGAGGACTTGATTCTCATGTTGGCCGGACTACATTAGAATAGATTACATCGGGTGTAATCATAGAATCGTATGGTATGACATCTGTTCAACCTTGGTCATCTCATTGAGCCTAGTATATAATCCGTCGACCTCCGCCAATTGATAACCATACATACACACACACACACACACACACACATGGAAGCATGTAGAGTTTTAGACACAGGTTGACATGTTATGCAGGTGGTGGAGTAGACAAGAATTGACCTAATAAGGAACATGCAAAGCGATGTAACGTCCCTCTGTCTCAAGCTCCTATTTCAACCTAAAACACAACAAACGAACACAATCACTCACCGTAGAAAACACACACACACACACACAAAAAATAAATAAATAAAACAGAAACAAAAATA